GAAAAGTGCCGTGACAAGACAGAAGCGAAAATTTGTGCTTAGCTATGACGAGCGTGTTAAAACATGTTTGATGAGTCATTTTCCCAAATACTTTCCATTTTTTGTGTATTGAATCAGCTTGTCGGGTTCGTATTGAGGAATTGAATACTGAATGGTTCCGTTCAGTTTATCTCTTCGGAAAACGACACGATTAAATTTCGTCTAAATGGACAAGCCTTCATGCTAATTCAGTAACACCTAACTGACCAATCATAGCGCGCGGTATATTCGATTGAACATCTAATAATAATAAGATCTAAAGAACGTTTCCAAGGTAAAGTCGAAGCATGCCCATAAAAATCGTACACTTCCTTGAGAACTTTCCGGCGATGTAACTAAATGAAAGTCATTAAATGAGGAGTATTGTCGATGTATGGGACAAACTAATGAACAAAAGGCCTTTTAAACACGCCATAATGCTGTTTCGTTTGGCTTTTTGCAGTACTTAGACCTTATTAACACTACAAAAGACTGAAACAAAGAATATCGCATTTAGTACCTGAAATTTGTCAGCGCGTCTCGAAGCAACCAGACGGAATACGAAGTACAAGAAAAAAATATGCTTTCTGTGATTCAACCATAGCTATTTACTAACTTGCAGTGATTAAGGTAAATTAACCTCCCTGGCGGGAAATGAAGTGGAGCTGACATTTCGTGCGTGTTAGCCCGGTTCGCCTGAGCCTGATGAAGGGTTAAATCTCGAGAAGTCACCATCACTAACTCCGGGCCGGCTACATTTTAAGGAGGTTAATTTGCCTTTGTTCAACTCCAAGTAAATAGATTGCTACCTGTTTCGCTTGCCCGCCAAGTTTCTCTGAGAAGCTAACACCTTTGTTCATTTCTTTTATTTCTTAGTCTATTTCTGAATATGATAAAACAGTCTCGAACAATAGCCGCAATTGAATGGGTTTCGTTGCTGAGTTGTGTATCGGTTTCTGTGGCGCCTGGAAGGCGTAGTATTCTGTACTGGTGCATTTGTTTTTATTTTCTAACCTAGCGAAACTTTAGAACAATGTTTAGCTCGAGGCTGTTTTGACAAATAAGACTTGGCTGAGTGCATTATTTGTCCTTGCACACCTAGAATTAGAAGTGAGACAATTTAATAACACGTGTGGGTAAAAGCATTTGATACCGAAATTAAATAATTTGTAAGGATGTGTGTAAACGACGCTGTAGGTTTTTATGTCTCTAGACGAAACAACGATCAAATTTTAACAGATAAATGTCAACCACCCATTGAGAGGGTGAGTTTTCTTACAATTTCTCGGCGTGGGAGATTCTGTTCTTTTATACTTACTGAAGGTTTACCTGTAAGCTTTCGTCTAGGATGAAGCTATATTCTTAGAGCAAAATTTTGATCTTGAAATTTCATCGGTTCAAACTTACAAGAAATAATTAATAAGGCAGACTATTATTAGCAATGTCACTGAGGTGATGCCACCAAAAAACGATTTGAAAGACGACTGAAAATTATAAAAGATTGATCATGAGATTGTAGCTTTAAATGAACATCACGAGTTTGGTGCGGCATAAAATTCAAAACGGACCACGGCTTGGTATTTGTAATCAGGATGAATTTTTGATACTAGTTTCTGTTAGTGATACGCGTTTTACACATACACTGTTTTGAGTTTCGGCTTATTTCCGGATGCGGAACAGTTTACTGCGTGGGCTAGCAGTACGATCTTTAGCCGACTACGAAATCCTGTTTGTTTTAGAAAAATTACTTTTGTTAACAGCTTGGTCCATTGTAAAACTTTATCCGCATGACATTCACTAAGCCAGCGTCCACACTACGGCGGAGAAATTTAAAAACGCAACTTTACTTCTACAGTTAATCCGACCTACCGTCCACAATAATCCGTCACGAAAACGGAGCTTTTCGAAAACGCTCTTTAGACCGGAGGAATTTGAAAACGGCGGCTTTGCGTTTTAGTGTGGAAGGAAAAGCAGTATCAAAATGAACAGCACACAAATATCAAACAAATAACATTTTTTTTCACTTGGTACGTCATGTGAGAACACAGAAAAAAACGCAAAACATCATGCGACTTAGTAAACAATAACAAAACGTGTGGGTTATTTTGTTAACTTCCAATAACGGAGATCTTTTAAACTTATTGAGCATTCTTGTATTTCATTTTACACCTGTATGATTTTTTTCTGGACAGGCCTCGTTCTACTGTCGCCCAATTTTACACTGACGTTACCAGGGCAAAACCATACAGTGGTCGGCATATATAACATGCAAAACAGTCCACAAACGTCCACGTGAACATCTACATTGAATTGCGTGGTGCCAGACTGAACAAAGAATTGTATAAGCCTAAACATGGAGTTCAACAGACAAAAAGCTCGACCAAATTGATGCGAGAAACGTAATGTTAACGACACAGAATGTCTCCGAGGCAAACTTATAGCTTTCTTGACGCAAAGCTACAGCAGCCTCTAACACAGGTGGACAAAGATAATGGTCAACAAGCAAAATAACCTGCAACAGTTTTATTGAAATGTAACAGCCGTACCCGGCGAACCAACACTGATATTCACCGAATATATCAAACTTTGTCGGCCCTCCAGATTGTCCGGGCTAATAGCGATTATCTGGAGAGCTTATCATAACCGTACGTTTGTTGCAATAGTAGTGAAAAAAAAAACTTAAATCACCTGGCAAATAACATGTGTCAAACTCTAAAAAGCGGTAGACAACAGCGGAGAGCTACAGTAAGTATAAACTCTACAAAATTTGCCGTTTACCACCGTCAAACGGCTTCACTCCATTTGAAGTCCTCTTATCAACACAGTATAAAGTGCCCTTCAGAAACAAGTGTCCAGCAGCGAAAAAAAACAAAAAAATAAAAGAAAGAGCGAGACACACAGAAAGAGAACGGAAATTACACAAATTTCACAAACCACGCGAACCATGTAAGCCGTCCACTCTACCCCCCTCAAACCACCCCNCCCCCCCCCCCTCCGCCCCACCAGATTGCTGGTAACCATGACTGTTGGAGTAAAGAACACATCGCAATGCAACGGCTTTCCCTCTGGCCTGCTAGAGTGCGCAGCGCAGCTCGCTAACCATTAGAGAACTGCTGCCCTCGCAAAATATCGTAGCATTCGTTTTAGATTTTATCAGGGGATATATTCCTTTTAACTACAATAGAAATAGCAAGCACCGATGTTGGAGATGGTTATGGCACCCCATGTTGACCCGACTTAAGTAACAAGTCGGCTCCGTGTAAAACATCAATCGTGAAGGAATGATTTTAAATCCTTGACCTGAAATTAGTTAAGTTGGTCAGTTTCTCTCTCATCACACCCACGCAATGTTTTTCTCATTGAAGAAAAGAAACACTTTCAAACCCACGAGGTGCGTACAAACGGTTTCCTTTATAATGTTGTTATTTAAATGTTTATCCGCGTGGCTTAGGAATTTGGCATATTCTTTAATTAGCGCATAAAAGACTAAGGTTTTGTTAATGAAATACCACTGATCCTATGGATTGGTTTAAAAAGTATATATTTCACACGTATATAGGAGCCGCGAATGTCCAAGAATGAACAATGTTTGTTTAAGTTTAATTTCACGCGCTGAAGTCGCTATGAAATTCCATATTAAAAGCGGTGGATGTTCTTTGCGTGTTTACAAAAGTACGAAAGCCTTAAAACTGATGGAAAGGGAACGAATTTAACTTTAAAGAAAGTTAAAATGGTATACCGCGGATTTTTCAAATGTTTGTCGTCAATTGGAGAGACCGCTGCTAGTTTCATCGTTTCTGCCTGAGTGTTGAGGCCGGCTATTTAGTTGGACTTTTCAATTGTATTGCTTTATTTGTAAGCAAACATCGGTCATTTCTTCTAAGTAATATTTGTATTTCCTATTGAAATTTTCATTGATTGAGTGACTAAAGTATTACGGTGAAGTTCATTCGTTCAACTGGACCTTTTTTTTCACCTAGTCGTCATAGCTTTCGCCCAATAGTGGTTTTAGCCAGACTAAGATGAGCGAAAGTTAAATGTGTTGCAGTCAAAACACACACAATCAATTCAACTCTCCCCAAGTGACAAAACATTTTGAATGATGTAACAATGTTTTAATTACGAGGAGCGACGGTTTGTTGACAAAAATGGTGACTTTTATGGTAAGCAATAAGAGATCTTTGTAAACATTACCGATTGTTGGCAGTGGCGGCAAACTTTCCGAACCCAACGTCAGGTAGACGAGAATGCGATTAACGCGAAAATGTTTCTAATTACCCGACGACCTGCCGTATTAAACCAAATGAGTTCATACTCACATTTGCGTATATTCAGCATTGTTTAACTCATTGTTTAGAACTCGGCAAAGTAGATTTCGTCGGCACAAAGGGCAAAAATTAGCAACGTTTTAGCCGACTTCCAAGTCTGTTTTTAACTAATTTAATCACCATGAAAGCTATAATCAAGGTCAGAAAAACCTTGTAGGTAAAAAGAACAAGAAGAAAATTAAAAATGTCTCGCTTCCTTGAACAAAAGGTTTCGAGAAGATTTGCGGGAATTTAATTCACAATAGTCTTATCGACTCTACACGTGTTTAACTAAGAGACAACCAAAATCAAACCACCAAAGATACATTATTTATCAAGAAATATATATACAGTATATATTATATCTCAAGGGAACTGAATTCTTGACTTGTGGGTGCGAAGAAAATGTCGACAAAGTTGGATAAAGAAGAATCCCGAAGACTCGCTCTGGTAACTTTTAATCTTTCGCTTGGACTAGGATCAATTGAATTTTGTCTACAAAAAGACTGATAATATGCAGCATAATATATACTACTCTAGCTTGGAACTGACATGTCCGTCGGTTTCTACCTCGCTCTTCTTTTTTAAACATTCTCGGGTTATATTTTCATTTCAAATCGCTGATATTCTTTGACTTATTCTTCACGTTTCTGTATGCCACTGAATAGGTGAATAAGATTTTTGTGAGGGGTATTTTGGAATCCATGGTAGCCTGCTAAGAAACAACGTCTTCTAAGAAACGATGCGTGGAGAGTGCTTCGAGTGCATTACTTATCCGCCACGATCTGACCGAAAATTTGAACAAACGAGTTGAAGACGGCACAATATAATTGCCTGCGAAACAGTTTTTGTCCGTTTGAAACACGGTAACCGGGTTTAACTCCTGATCCAATTGTTAAAACTCTGTGTATATATACGTAGAAATAAAGCTTTTATTTTCCTTTGGACTGGAAGATCAATTGTCTTGAGTAAAACCTTTATCTAACCGGCACATGGTCACAGAATGCATTAACTTGCCCCAGGGAGAAATACACTCAGCGAACACGTGAAAATTAGCTTTAGCAGGGGAAACGGCGTGATTTGCGCTAAGGAAATAACGCGTTTATATTTTCCCTGAATCAATTTCTCAACACAAAATCACGACGCAACACTGAGCCGCGAAAGCGCATTGGATAAAGTAAGAAGCTTACATCCCAAATTTAAAATTCATAAACGCGTTAAAACTCCTCATTCAGTTTGTAGCCAAGCTAGCATTTAATTGACTGGTCGCGTTTACACTTTGTGATATTTGTTACAAATCGTTTAAAGCAAAACTTGCACAGCTTTTCCAATGCCAATTTCGCTGGGCTCGCTTGGCTCAATATAAACTGCAAACGCCCGCAATGAGTTAAATTTAAAGAGTTCAAGGTCTCTGGAAATTTCCATGGATATTTAAAGTTTAAGAGAGGCATGTAGTTTTGTAAGCAGAATTAGCAATCTATTGTATTCCGCGGACGGCCACAAAGGTGGAGAACTTCCAATATGCGTTTTTCTCGTCAGTAAAACTCTAAGTGTCAATCAAACTTGTAAATTTAGAATGAAGGATTCACATCGCATTGTTTAACTTGAATTACAAAAGAGGAACACAAATACAGAAACCAAAACAACAAGTCAAGTTTTCGAAGCAGTGACTTGGAGATCTTTGGTCGCTGAACTGACCCGGAGTTTGCTTCAGGATTTGGACGGGTAGTATTTTATCTGGCTGCAGAATACTCTCACTTTTTCAGGTAAGAAACACTGACCATCAGTCACTGAGCACCGAAAGATGTGTAACTTAGGGAGACCGCTCCATACACCCTCACCACCACATGTACATTCGGTTGCATAGAAATATCAAAGAAGGCATACTTCTGTTGGCTTCCATAGAATTTTGCCAGTGAACGATCCTTGTTTTAGGGTTCTATCTCAAAGAGTTCAGTCTTTTGCTCGGCTACGGGTATATTTTACAGATCACAGCACCATTGTGCAAGACAACTCCCCAGTGCGTGGGTATTATTTTAGCTACGACGAACAAGTTTAATTCTTCATTCGTTCATCGTGCAAGACATTGATCAACAGTTCCGAGTTTTTCCGCTCTTAGAGTAAAACATTTCACAAGTCTATATGCACAGTTTTAAACTTGTCTTAAGTCTTCGATCTAGCAAGAACATTTTGCAGCGCTGACTTCAAGGCTACAATTAAGAAAAATCACATGCCCCCTTAAATGTCGAGGCTGATTTAGACCTGAAAATGCAACCATACGAAATTAGCCGTGGAAGGATTTTGTCATCGACTGATCTTTCAACCTTGTATGTTTTTCTAGCGCAGCACGTAAGTGATTATGTTAAAATTAATATTATCGATTTCATTTTTCACTTTTTCCTAAATTCGAAAATCGCATGACAAGCGTTATACGCCACAGCTACGCGAGCTAAAAGATGTCGCCTTGAAATGAGCAAACTGCAATTCTCAGCAAACGTTCCAAAGTTTCAGAACTCTCAAGGCTTATGGAAGAAACATATTGGCTTTTCTATCATTACTTTTTGTGCTGTGCGACTTTTTTTCAGTTTTTTTGCCCGAGACTAAACGCCTGTACTCTACCAAGCTATATATCGCAAACGCACTTTATTCTCGAATTAAAAAAATTGGAATTCAGTCAAACTTCTGTTATGCATGTGTTTGCTATTTCTCCGGAACTGAATTGAATCAGTCTAAAAGATTGGACTTAACTCGGTGAGTCGGTAATATGTGTTTTAAACTGAAGACGATACACAATTGGGTAATATGAATTTAAACGACAATTCATCGGCGAACAAATTAAGATTTGATTTAATTTCAGGCAGTTTTTTTTTCAAATGTACCCTGGAAAGTCAGCATTGAAAATGCCCCCCTGTTTAGCGGCTTTATTTTATCTTAATAGCTGTCTCCCCAATATTTCATTTTATAATTATTTGCCCGTATTTGCCCGGATTTTAGCGGTTTAACATAGGACGCAAGCAGGCATGACACTGGGTATTTTTTTTTTTTATTGCTATACTTTCATATAATTTTCCTTCCAAAACGCCACTTCATTCCTTTCTAAAGGAAGTTTTGACGAATGCCAATTCTTGGGAGACCTTGGTTAAGGAAGTTTTTATACATGTCTACTCTTGGGCGCCAAAATGTTATAAGTTGGCGAGCATTAACAAAGAAATCTTTTATGATCTCTGCAAAGTAAATACTGGTTTGATTGATATTTGTACTCCAGAGTCATAAAAAGTTCCCACCGGTTTTTACTTCAATGCGCTATGGATCAGCAAAACCTGCAAACATTATTTCATTTCCTGCGTGGGTAATTTGGTAAAAGCTATGAAACAGCAGATGCACTAAACTAAGGCACGCAGAAAAACGTGATTTTGCCCCGTAAAATTGCCTGGACAGGCTGAATCTTTGCTTTGAAGTCTCTTTCAAGGGGGTATTTATTGCCAACAACAGCATGAAGGTAACGTGTTAGTAAATGATTTTTCACACGTCTTCTCCTGATTATGGCTGAGTACAAAGGAAAAATGTGTGCTAAACGGGTCTATTGATATATTTGCTTTTGCGGTAGATAATTCTTTTTTACTTTAGATCAACAATTCTATTGCCTCCGTGATCAAAGATTCGGTTTTATTGCTGTAAATTCCGCTTTACGGAAAGCTCTACCTCGAAGCTTCATCTTGTCCTAAGATGAAATCGTCTCCTCCGCCTAATTTGGAAAGTTTCACCGAGTGTGAGATCGAACGTTCTATACCTTGAGCGATCAAAGGTTCTTCTGTTTCCTTCGTGATCATTGGTAGATCAACACGTGCGTTCCAGCTGATTCGTAAGCCATCGCCTAGCTACATGTCTTGACTCTTCACCAGTGTACAATAGGTAATACAAGCTAGGTGGCATAGAAATGAAACAAATTATCTCATTCTCGACATTGATATGCAAATAGAATGGCATAGTGGGTTGAACGTAGGCGGTGTGTGCTGGTGATTGGTGGAAATTTTCAAACCAAGACCAAACGACGGTTTGTTTTTCCACACCAACGATCTTTCTCCTCTGCAAATTGTGACCACAGAATGTAACGAACTTGTTTGGCTTCCAGCGGCGTTACGAACGTTAACCGTTTCTTTTCGTTCTTGTTTTTTGCCATGTTAACTCCTGTAGCTAACAAAGAAACTCTTCTTCTGCTTGTAAACAAGCCGACAAGGGGCCAACAATGACACCTTACATTTTCGGTTCCAATCTCCCTCGGTACAGTCAATGTTACTCATACTAGGCAATAATTTCATTCTTGTTCCCCAAACATGAAGCCACATTTCTGTCATCTTTACATCTCATCTCTCATTTTTTTTTTGTAAAGTAAGCTTATTGTGGATTGCTACCAAAAGGTGCGCCTTCGTGTCTCTTGTGGGAGTTAGCACTTCGCTAAGCGCGCACGTTATCCGGTTTTGTTAGCACGCGCGTTTTTGATACTACAGCAAGCGTGTTTAACGGAGACGATGAGACGTTTACCTAATGGCAAACACCTGTGTCCGACTCTTTTACTCCATACAAAGCAAGACAAAGAGATTCGCTTAACCAGCTGTTGAATGCAAAGTTAAAAAACTCAACGGTCATTAAACGGAAATTAAGTTAAGGGTAACATAACCCGCTCATAAAAGAAACAATATAAATGGCGCAAAGCTGACGCCTTCGCTAAGCGCAGAATATTGTTTTTCGCGAGTTACAGCCCTGCCAAAGTCGCAGATATGGTTCCACTTGCCGAGGTGGATCATGTCTTCTAGTTTATAACAATGCTCGTCAAGGCACGTGGCGACTGTCCGAATTAATTGTTCACGCGTGCCGCTATCTATAGTTGTATATCTAGCAGCCACAGAGCAATTAAGTGAACTACAATTGACAATAGGTCCTGACACACGCGCCTAAAGCAAACCACGCTAGGCACAGAACAATGTGAGCTATTGTCTCGGGAGCTCGTAACTAAGACACGATCGTAGTTTTCTTCTCACCGTGTCGCATTGGGAGTTGAAGATAGCTGTGATCTGCTCTATATGGCTTGATCACTGAACCCAGGGCACGGGCCGTTAACACGAATTACAAAACTCTGGTAACAACAACTGCGTATAAACAAAACCCGCGTTCAAAAACAGTGCTCCTCGCTGCAACGGTTCAGTGCAACGCTTGCAGTTTCGCAGCACAGAACTACAGCTCTTGTTAAAACTGATTTTTCTTGCAGACGTTGGAAGAGGGATCTGGAAGTGAAATCACTGCAGTTACAATGCCTCGTGGGTCAGGTATGTGAAATAGTTTGGATTATTTGTCCTTTTTCCACCTTCACGTAGCTATGTAATTATCACTTTCTGTGTGCAAACTCTAATTATCTCCAAGATGCAAAACCTAATTCTGTTAGCATGGCAGAGCCTTAGGCACGCAGATTTACCCACATTAGTATTACAGCTGATTAAGATGCGCGTTTTCGCACGGTTTCTATGACTCTAGATCACAAGGGAAACTTTCCCTGACCAGACGCTCGGCAAAGTCTTGTACATACCCAATCACGCGACCACTGAATGTTTTCGCTGTTATTCCTAAATGAATTAATCATTTGGCATTCCTCTCATTTGATTAAGTGATTCTGGTCTTCTCCTGCATTGACCGGTTATGATTTCTTGGCAGATTTAAAAATTCGCAAATCATATAGACTGGCCGTTTTTGTTCGAGGACACTCGCTTAAATACGCACTCGAAAGTGCAAATAAACGTTAACTGCATATCCGGCGGGGAAAAAGTCTGAATGAAGCAATTTGACAGCAAATGCGAAATTGCTTTGAAATTAAAGTCCATATTTTTTTGAAGTTGTTAAACAACTTTGATGCTCATCAGTGTTAATTTTATTTTCGATACAACAGGGCGACTCGTTACAAACCAGACAGAGGCGAGTCTGAATTAATCAAAGTCCAAGTCGCTGTCTCTATTTCAGTGATTGTGGCAGACTTTATTAACTTTGAGTTTCTCAACCGCAGAAAGTAAATCAGTAAAGACACGGGAAACAAATCGTGAAATTAAGGGCGAAATTTTCTACCTTTAATAGCAAGCGCATCATGTTAAATTTACCACCAGAAACTATTCAAACACAACCAAAAGATCAAGGAAACTAGACTTGCTGTGACTTAAGACGCTCTTTGGCTAAAATGTAAATTTCGAACTCTTTTGTAAAGAGTAGCGCGTGCCATCAATTAGTGTTCGAAATCTGATTGGCGGTCAGCGAGGCGAGACCATTAGGACAATAGTTATTATAAAATTGCTTTAAGTCGCCTTTGTTATTTTGAGAAACAGGCATGTGGCCTCAAACTCTTCTTTGCTGAAGCAAATCACGGTCACTGCAAATGTAATTAATGTAAACCTTCTTAAAGTTCATTTATGCCAACATATGGCGCAAATGGATACAAAGTGGATTTGAAATTGAAAAGTAATTCATTTGAAGGGTTGGCCCTGAATTTAGAGATGCAACATGTAACAGGCTTCACAAAAGGTTGCATTAATGAGAATCGTATGCATGTCAATGTATCCATATTTCACATGACAAATTATTTGCTGTATTTCGAGTGGCTGAACAATTCATAACTTTTCATCAAATATGTTGTTTTAAAAGATTAAACGCTTAATTTTCCTTTTCATTTTAGAGTTTTTATTAAAACGTTTGAGGTACTCCGACCTCTTTCTCTTCAAAATAAATGAGTCAACTGTATTGCTCCGTTGGGCGTGAATTACGGACGTTAACACCTTCATGTGAACTATTTGAAGTCCATTTACGCCGGCTTAATTTTACCTTAATGAGGCGGAAAGATCGCGTCATAATTCAGATAAAAAACATTGTTATGCAGCATGTACAATCTGCTATCTCAGTTGACAGAAACTTCTAGTTTTTTTGCTAAAGGACAACGAAAAAAATAAAACCACGCCAGTCAGACCGTGGAAACAGAACTTCTGTTATAGATAGCTCCCTTCTCTTGTTTGTTTAGAAGTGTGTCAATGACAATTAACATCCATTATTAGAATATTTTATGTTTAACAAACAACTTTTGAGCTAGGCCATAAAACAGATCATAAATTAGACATCGATTTGTTGCAGCGAAAAGAACTTTTCTAGTCTTTGAAATATTGATTCAGATATCTGAATTGAGAGTTATTCAAAATTTGATTGAGAATAAGTCAAAATTTGAACTTTATGCTGAAAAATGACGCGTTTTTTAAAATGATTGCTGACATCTGAGATATGCAAAATTTGCTGATCGGCAGAAACATGTTCTGAAATTTTAACTGAAAGCTGAGAAATAACCGAAAATTTATGACTGAGATGTTAGCACACGAATTTCGGACCAGGAGATTATAGTGCTAAGAATGAGTGCGTGTGCATGTTGTGTTTTAACAATCGCACCATATTTTCGCCAAGCTATAAGCTAGCTAGTCTCTCTGAGCTGACCAAACAGATTTGAAATTTACTCACAGTCCGCAGTGTGATGGCTTCCTTTCACGCGAAACGTGTTTTCTGATTGGTCACCTGTTCGAATGATCTATGAAAATGACAGTTCGCTTGCACCGCTACCTGTTCTGCTCTCTCATAACACAGGAAATGATTAATATCCATCTTATACATACAAGAAACCCTGCACGCAACAACTTAGAAAAAAAATTCAATTTTGTCGAATTTCGCTTTGTTTGCCGTTATCTGCAGCCTTGCTGAGATCTGTCAGTTTGATTGCTTTGAAACCTAAGGGTGGATTTCCATTGTTCCATTATTTCACGCCCGATTTTCTTGCGCAAAATAAATAAAACATATGGAGTAGAAAATGAACCACTTTCAACTTTTTTCCGCAGACGCAGGCGGTCCATTAGAACTGCTCTATTTTATTTTACGTGCGAAAAGCCATTGAAATTTACGCCGTAGACGTGCCAAAAATAACGCTACAGTGGAAAGTCACCTTACCCTCTTTACACGACACCGGGTTGCTTTTTACCCCGGGTTGAATCACCGCAGAAAAAAAAATAAACACCTTACACCAACTCGAGCCTGATCCAGGCCAGCCTTTCTACCGATCGATCAAAAACTGAAAGCATGGGCTAGAAAGATTACAAACGAAAAACCTAGAAAGTATAACGGAATGGTGGGAGGTCCTGATGTACAAACCAAAAAAATAAAAATAAAAAACGAAACAACATGGTTATTTGACTGAAAGTACCAACACGGCTTAGCTTTTGGCCCACTGCTTACATGTAAGAATTGAAGAAATTTCAACCCTTCTCGCCGGGCCAACCTGAGTTTCGACAAGGGTTATCCGGCAAAGGGGGCTGACCGGCTTGTCCACTGTTTTTATGTAAACGCTTATAAACATTTGACTGCAAAAGGGTTACCCGCCGCGGTGATTCAACCCGGGGTAAAAAGCAACCCGGGGTTGTGTAAAGAGGACTGGTTGACGGAAAGGCAGAATGGAGGTTGGAAACCTGCAGTAATAAACACCTTTCGTTTTTCTACGATCATGACGATATATCAGTGTGTGGGCATTTTTGAAATTTCAGGCGTGATTCTTTTGTCCCTTATCACGTGCTGAAATGTTAAACTTTTTCATTACCTACCTGTTAGATTCTTATTGTCTTGTGTTTGTCTCGTGATCATCCACGGCTGTCCAACAGTCAAGGTCAACCAATGTATATCAAGGCGTTTTTAGTTTTTGACAATTCTTCTTTAAGTTAATTATGTTTCTGGTTTTTATCTATAAGTTAAGCAGCGAGGCCTTTTTTAGTTCCCACGGTCAGTGAACCCAAAAATGTACACAATTTGGGTATTTAGCTGGAAATCATTTAGCTTGTATTATTAGTAGATCGAAAGCAGTAGAAGTAGTAGAAGTAGTTGCAAAAGGAAGCGCTTTGAAGAATAAAAGTCAAGCAAGCAAGAGTAGCGTCTCTTCGCATGAACGGGTTTGCCGTGCTGTAACTCACATGTATTGCGTGGCTTGTGTTGGTGCAAAAACTTTCTTTCCTTTTTCTTTTCAAAGAGACTTAACATGTTGACTGGTTATAAATAGAAACCGACAAAACAAGGCTTAACGGGAAATAAATGTAAGGTACCTGAAAAAAGAAGAAAACACAAAACTAGCGGATCATGAGCGCGGAGCAGAGAAATCGTTGCCATTCTTTCAAAATTGCAACAACAAGATCTCCTCTTGACTGAAAATTAGTTTTAAATTAATGGAATAAAAGTCGTGCCAAGGGTTGCTGAAAGTAGAAGTTCGAATTCGGCTCTGTCATTCAAATCAAATCTTTGAAATAGAAAAGAAATTTGTCGCCCATGGCACCTGCAAGTTCTTATGTCTGATAAATTTACAGAAAAATGGTCTTCGTTCCACTCGAGCCATTCTCGACATTCTCTTCTCAGGTCAACACGCAATTTACGCCAACAGCCATTATGTGTCGCACAGCAAGCTGCAGTCTCCGTTGACGATTCAGTGGTATGTATATGACGTCTATCACCTTAGTTGACAAGAACTACTGTAATAAGCCTCCAAAACGTGGACACATGTTAACTGGTGCCCGTTTTGAAGGGGTACTGTCGTAAGGCGCCAATCCACTTTAATTTGCCGTGACTCTCAAAGAAAATTTCTTCCAGTATAAAAAAGTTAATTAGCTGATATTGGGCGACCACTAAGGTAGATCGTAACTGATAACAAAAAACCGGAGTACCAGTAACAGGTTAATAAAATTCATATTTCACTCGACGGTAACCTGCCGTGTTTGTGCTATGTCAACTTCGGCCGGTTGAATATCACTACCAAAGCAATACATTATCGAAAGTCCATGAGACTCTCAAGTAATTCTCATGAGATATTTTAAACAAAAAAATTCGTCTGTTGAATGAAAAGTGTGCAGTACTAGAAACCACTGAAGAAAACCATCTCTTCCATGCACTGATAAACGTTTTAAACAGAAGCTATGTTTGGACACTTGAATAAAAGAATCAAATAAATCTTTTTCTGTGTTATGTTGACAAACAAATGATGTTGGCAAACAAATGATTTAAATCCGTCTTTTCCACTGCGGTATTTCTTTTTTCTTAAAAGTACTTCATCTATCGTAATTAAAAAAAAGAATTTACACTTATTTGTATTTGTATTTTCTAAAGTTAGCTAAGGCAAATTTCAGTCGGTTTTTAAGCATTCTATTTATGGTCTGAGTGGCAGTAGGGTGCTGGTAAAATTGACCAAAATGATGAATGTTTCTGCTTTTTTGTTTTATGTTCCCATAGACTTGATATGACCTATACTCACGGTTGTTTTCATCTGCAGGTTAAATGAAAATTACGAAGTCTCTGAGGGTGTTAGTTTGCCCCGGAGCGCTTTATATTCCCATTACTTGGACTTCTGTGAAAAGAACAATCTCGCTCCAGTGAATGCAGCCAGTTTTGGCAAGGTAAGTGGAATATTCTTGAAATTAAAAACCCTCAAAATCCAATTGCTCTAACATCTGAATTTATTGCATGGAATATCTTCCGATACCGGCCAGTCCTTCGACATAAACTGAAGACGATATGTTAGGATATTTATCTCTATATGCATTCATTGAACTACCCAGCAATTGCTAAGCACTCCCACGACGTTTGAAACAAAACACTGAATTAGTTAAATTGAAAACAACATGTTTTGAAACAAAAAATGTATTGAAATATGTTTGATGTTTCCATCCCGCCAAATATCGCTTGGTCAAACTTATCAAAGAAAAATAGCCTTAACTCATGAGGAATGAAAATCCACTGAAATCAGTTTTAATTTCTTCAGATAATTCGTCATACCTTTCCGAATTTGAAAACCAGAAGGCTGGGAACTCGTGGGCAGTCAAAGTAAGTATTCCTTTACTGGTGACATAGTTAATAGAGGGGAATGGTTATGAAACTCGGCAAAGTTCTTTGTTGTATGTTTTTGTTCTCTTTTTTGACCTTGACCGTGTGCACAAAACACAATAGTTGTTTACTACTGACCGAGGAACTAATCAATAGAAATGTTTTGACTACGTTACTCACGATAGTGTATGAACGCAAAACAAAAGATTGTGCACGGTCGTGGACCTTCCAACATAAATCTTGGCATCTTTGCTTGCTCCTTTACCCTCTATTACTATGCTGTTGATATGTGAACATTCAGTATGAGCACATTCTAGAAATGATGTATGATTCGAGAACATATTCTATGCTATCGTAAAACAACAAATTTCTGTTGTGTTCTTAGCTTGAAATATCAATTAATATATAAATCTAACAACCATAACAGTAAGTAAGCTAGTTTTAACGAAATCAGTCTTGTTTGTTGACCATCTGGTCCTGTTGAACTTTTTGGGGAACTTGAAGTTATAATTTTTTGGTGCCCGGCACTCCTTCAACAAACACGTGGTTACACAATGGTACTCGTTAACTTGATCAAATCATTGTTTTCGCCTGAATTAATGTGTCCTTAGCATTCCAGTGACCAACACCTATATCGATATTCTTTTGTTAAAGTTTGAAAATCAACTTCGAGAAAAAATTGCGGCAAAAAAGTTAAGCGCTTGATGAGGCAAAAAATCAATGCTAACAATATAATTTGTTTGTACTGAACAAAGAGTCTTTCGCTGAAAGCCGAAGTCAAGGATTGTGAGAGTTTCTTCAACTGCATTTGCATAGTTTCATCTCAGTCTTAGCGAGATCAATCACGGTATTTCAGGATAGAATATTGCTTTGAGAAATGCTAATGGATTTTGAAACACTGACAAAAACAAAGAAACCGCACTAGCTGAAAACGAAAGCATGAAACACGCGATCTGAGAAGGCCAAATGGTCCACAGTATACCTTTTGTTTTCAAGAGTAGAGTGCAACAATTTCTCCAAGTTCAAGTAGATGTGAGCAGGGTTACCGTGGTAGCAGGAAGGAACTTGGCACTTTGAACAAAAGGCGGCCCACGTTATGTGCTAAATAAAAGAATTTTTCAAACTTAATGATTTAGGCTCAGCAACAAAACAAGATGCCACTATAAATATTATGTGGCAACGAAATTAAATGCTGCTGGTATGTGCGTAAAAGCATAACAAGGCATTGAAAATATCAATTGAGCAAACAATTCTAAAAAACATGAATATGAATACAACGGAAATAACAACATTCTGGACGAAAATGATACGGGTTCAGAACTGATGTAAAAACCAGTTTGGGAAGTTTGAAAATAAGATCCGTTTGCCAGCTGCGAGTTGGCGGATTGGAGCAGCTGGCGCGAGGGCGGATTGGAAAAAAGGAATCGGAACTAAAAAGAGCTCAGGAAATCAAATTATTGGTTTTTTCGATCTTTCGTGTACTGCATAACTGCACAATTTGTACGAAGTTAACTGTAGAACTTATGTACTCGTAATTTATTTCAGTTTCAAGTTAACTGGGGGAACGTTTCTGGAAACATAAGAAGCCGCTCAGAATACGAAAAAGTAGCTCAGTTGTCAGGAAAAGCTAGTCATACAGTAACCTCCATGGGAAACGAAAATTGGTTCGAAAAATAGGATAGCTCGAGAAATCGGGGGAAAATTAAAACAGGGGCGGATCCAGGATTTTTCTTAGGAGGAGTGCACCACCAAGGAAAATGGTGGTGACTGACCGGTGAGGTAATAAATTTTAAAAGCGAATACGAGGAAGAAGGCTTTATCTCAGGGGGAAGGAGGGTGCGCAGCCCCTTCACCCTCCCTCTAGACCCGCCCCCGTAAAATTACAGTGTTTGACTGAGGAGAGGGAAACGACTTTTGGTTCGAGTTTTAGGGAGGTTCGAAAAACTGAGGGTTCGAGAAATCGGGATTCCAATGTAATTTTCTTTTTCCAAATATGAACCGTTGTAAGAAGTACGTACTTGAACCCCGCTCACAAGTCTGGCTCTTCTTATCTATATCTTTTAACAATTTCAAAAAGTCAGTTTCCCATGCTTCTCTAATAAAATGCTCCCAAGAAGATTTATCTCTTGAAATGAGGAGACACGTTTGAGCGTAATAGAAAAACGTTAATTAATACTAGAGGGGTACCGGAAATAACCGTCTCTAGTCTCGCAATAATGTCGTTTCAGACTCCAAAAGGCCTTTTTTTTGTGTTTTCATCGTTTTTCTAAAGTTGAAAACATAAAGTCTTAAATAAAAATTGCAGGTTGGTCTTCAATTGAGTGTCTTTAAACCAAAACCAAAGTAATCACTCTCGCCAATCACAAAGGACATAGACAATCCAGCGAGCCAATCAAGACTCGAAGTAATAACATATAGCTGGGGCAAAGCGCGGGAAAACGTGTGCGAGAAAGTCACGATGTTTTTTGGTTTTATTTCTGATTGGATGAAAACTTGGCGCGAGATTTTGAAGCCAATCACGAAGCGTAGTAAGTGAAAAACCAATTACTTTCGACATTCAAATGAAAATCGCCATGTCCAGATCCTCTTATAAAAGCAATTCAGCTATATCATGTTTATTAATAATGAATGTTCCTTTAACACAAACTTGTTCATTTAATCCCAGGTATCACTACTATGGGATCACAATAAAATCAACTTCACCTTATCATGACACCGTCTGTAATGCAGCGAGGCAAAGCAACACTGGGTAAGCTGTCTTCTTGCACGCGTAAGCTAAGATAATTATGACAAAAGGGATCTAGCACCAAGAAAGTAGTTCATCATAATAAACATCGCGACATAAACAGCTATAAACAACATAGAGCTCTAAAGGTACTGTTAAAATAAAATGACTAAATGTACGTAATCACTTTCGATAGCAGTCTTCACACACTAGAGTTTCATTCACAGCTTTACAAGTTAGCAACACCTTATGCAGTTTAATAAATAGTACCACATGAAAGTACTGCTCAATGGCTTTCATTTGAATGATCAGACATTAGGGTTTCATCCACAGACTTAAAAGTTAGAGCCACCTTGAACAGTTTATTAATTTAAACAGTACCACATGAAAGGTCCCCATGAAGGTAATGCTCAATAGTTTTCATTTGAATGGTCCGCACACACTAGGGTTTCATCCACAGACTTAGAAGTTAGAACCACTTTGTACAGCATAATAAACGGTACCACATGAAAGTACTGCTCAATA